TTTTTCAAGTCTGTATTGAATCCAGATTAACGACTCTCTAATTTATTGACTTTTGAACTTCACAGTAGCCTTTGTTCGCATTTTAGAAATAAAAAAATACGCCTCTTTTTTTATTTCTACAAATGACGTTCCTCTTTTTCTACGAACTATCGGGGGATACCAGTATGACTATCATCATCATGCTTCTTTGACAATGAAATAACTTCTCCAATATGACTATTATCGTATGTAACACTTTGATGTCTAGTTTTAATCGATGCAAAAAAATATGATACTGACTTATCACTTAATTTAGTATTTTTGTTTAAAATTTTCAAAATAATCATCTAATAACAACACTTTTTTTTTCTTCATGAAACTAAGAAGAATGGCATTCAGAATATATCAATTGAAGGCTCACATTAAAAACTGCTCAATATCTTTGTGTCATTTGATATCATTAATAATCCATACGTATATAAAAACCACGTACTATGTCATCACATGTTGTCTTACTCATTTCTTATCTGACAATCTATTACCCCCTGTGCTTTTGATTGATACAATGTGCACGCTTACTTGATAGTTACAATGATCACTGATCTTATTATTTAATCAGTTTAAATTGTAATCAACAAAATAAAAATAATCTGCGTTACATGAATCAACCATCTATCGATAAAAACAAGAAGCTTATTTTTTCATCAAAGATTGTAATACGAAAGCCTATCGGATTTTTTTCTTTTGAAGTTGCTGGATTTTCTTTGAAAATCCGAATTTTTTTTCATATTATATACTCGGAAAGCATTATGATTTTGATCATATCAATTGAAACAATTGATTTTCAGCTGTCATTTGAAAAATGTCTATTCAAAATTGTGCTTGAGCAATGATCTCTTATATGAAAATGTCTGTCACTCTTAGCAATTCTTTTCTAAATATAATAATAATGAAACATGCAGAGAGGATATGAGCCATCTATTAATTTTCATTCACCTCTAAAACAATGTTATATTTGTAACGACAAACTGGATTGGAGTAGCTTGTGCCACTCTCGGCAATGATGTTTATTCAGCTACTTCACATATCCAGAGTGTGTCTATTGCACATTCAACACACACTTATATATGATACAGAAACAATGGGAGAGAGACGACACAGAGAGAACAATAGAGAGAGAAAGAGGAAAGAGGAAAGAAGAAGAGCAGCGAGCCGTAACGCATATATCGGCACACCCTCCCACTCAGATGAGACGCGCTCCTGAGCGTCTTTACAATTTAGAAAAGAAAAACAGAAACGATAAAAAATAATTAGATGAAAGAAAGAATACATCAAAACAAGTTCATTGATTGAACTTCATCGTAGAAAATACAGTCATACACGAACGACAATATCGACTTTCATACATAACTTCATATCAACACACGTCTTCACAGTATCATAGCATCGAGTCACGAACAGAGCAGTCAAGAAAAAGAGGAACAAGCTTTTTAAAGGAGTGATCATCACATTTCAAACTCATAAATTCGGCAACACCTTTCAAATATAAATAGAAGATCAGTCAACACGAACACGGCATACAAATAATGATCGTCACAGCTTCAATCATCACACAAAAAAAAAAAAATTTTGACAGAGCACACAGAAATGAAACAATATAGAAATATAGAATTCATAACACGCATATGATCAGTCACACTTTTTCGCACATTTTCACATTCGTAGGACGCAATGTCGAACAACAACACATATCAATTTTAGAGAACGAGAAAAAAACACAAGTCATCGGTTACACAAGCTTAGTATAATTTTAACCATAAGTAGACATAAATATTCTAATTCATACAGGATAGAAACTCTTGTCTAGTGCATAAACGATACCTAGAACGGTTTCTTGTTTTGTCTTACTTACTAGATTATTACAACAACGAACACATAGCTTATAGAAAAATATCGCATCATATTTCGATTATCTACATGATCGAACATAAAAGATTATCATTTAACCCATCTTCTATTTATGTTTCGCCGGAGAAGAAGAGAAAAAAAAATTCGCGCTTTCTAATCAGTATCATCACTATAATTACTTTCGTTTTAAATTCTTCACTGGCTTCAGGCCTTTTAAGGATAACATCTTCATTTAATTTTATGTTTCTTCTAATATTTGATTGTTACGCATCGTTAGTTAGCAAGATGTTCAGCTGAATAACTGTTGGTGGTGATTGACAACACGAAGTGAATATTGATGATGAATGAATATCAATTGTTTACAGCTGATACACAATCAATTTCATGTTCATCGATATCCATTTGTTCTGTTGCTGCTTCTTTTTTTTTTTATTTTGTTTTGGCAGAGAAAATAAATTTGAATTACGTGAGAAATGACTCAGGGATTCGAGGAGAAATGACATGAAACGTACAGATATTACAAAGGAAAGTGCGCCAACCCTACGCACTGCCGGCCCGCTATCTAGCCGCCCTTTAGTACGTCCACTGATGGTCTGTGACAGTGCCCCACAGACTTAAAACACTGCCATGTCATTCAACTCTAATCGCCGCATGCATTCATCACTCATTCAAATTATTTATCATACCTTGACATTCACTTGTATCTTCAATGGAAGTTTGATAATTTTGAATTCTTCTTGATTCTGGAATCTTCCAACTTCGTTTCAGAATATGCATGTATTCGCTCCTGCCAGGGTCGACATGTAACGATAAAAGGAGAGATGATGTAATGACAGACTGGAGGAGTAGCTTACCGCCACCCTCGATAATGATGTTTATTAGCTACTTCACATCTCCAGAATGTGTCTATTGCACATTCAACACACACTTATATATGATACAGAAACAATGGGAGAGAGACGACACAGAGAGAACAATAGAGAGAGAAAGAGGAAAGAGGAAAGAAGAAGAGCAGCGAGCCGTGACGCATATATCGGCACAATATTATAGTTGTAGATTTATGTTAAAACAAGAAATTATTTTGTTTTGTTTTTTTTTGCTCTACTTTTTATTCTATTTGGTGTTATAAGGTTGAAAATTTATTTTCATGATAAATAACAATAAAAACTATTTTTATTTCTGGAATGATCTCTTCCGAATCATTCACAATAATCTTATCAAAGTTTCATGTCATTCTATTGCAGTATATTTGAGTAGTAGTCGTGAAAAAGAAAATATTGCGATAAAAAATCCTAGACAATTTTAATTCTACTTTTTTTTGCTTATATTTTAAAATACTCGAAAGTTTTATATACGTATATAGGACTATGCACTGCAAATTTGTTTGTTTTACACTCATCTATATAAACCCATTAATTGCACATACCAATCGTAACAGCCAATAATAATGTAGGGTTTTTGTAATATTCATCTCTAAGAATGAAACTTTTATCATCGACATTGATGTCAATCAGGGGCAAATAACGACCAAAATATACTATTATGATAAATATGTCCAATCAAGCAGAAACAATCGATAAATCCCGAGACTCTTATTTTCGAGTATATGAAGACTAAACAACGACATACAATTAACATTATCATTTTCTTGTTTTTCTTTATTTTATTTTTAGATCTCTGTCTTCAAATTTTATAATAAAGACAAATAAAAATGAAATTATCATTTTGGCAATTATTACTATTTCTATTCATAATTATGAATTTTTTTCAATGTCGAAAATGGCCTAATTTAGCACAGAATAAAAAAAATATTTATCAACGATTATACAATGTCACATATCGATCATTATCATCATTATTACCTTCAATCTGTTCTCAAGTTTTATTCAATGATAATAATATACTATCTCCATATATATCCCCAAAAGGTTTATCTGGTCGTGTTATACCGATTGGAACATTTTCAAGCACAATTTTAGCTCTTTAGTATTTATATCGAACTGTTTGTCCAATACAAAACATATTAGCAGAAGAATATGGTATCCAATCATTTGATTTAGTACGTATTGCTTATGATGAAAAATATTTGATTACGACATGTTGGATTAACATTAGATCCACATACAAGTGAAGAACGTCAAGCAAAAATAAATACAATATGTAATGTTACACAAAGATTCTGTACTGGAACATTACAACAATATTCAAGTTTCAATGATTGTCAACAATTTTTAAGAACACAAATACCTTATGGTTCATATGGTAGAGCAGATCAAAGAAATGTTATTTGTCGTTTTGTTCATACATATTTTGTACCTTTATTACCATCTATACATTGTCCACATGTTGGTCCAACTAGAAGAGGAGCATGTACTGATAAAACAATCGACTTTTATTATAATCAACCAAATTTTCTGGCTTGTGCTCATAGACAATAATAATAAAATAAAATTATGTTCTTTTTTATTTTTTTCAACTTAAAATTTAAATAATAAATTGATATCATCCATAAATAATTACGCGAAAAATAAGATGTAAAACTGATTTGGTAATTCGACTTGATAGATGTGCTTCTCTATTAACTTAACATTCGAATAACTGTTAATATATATGTATCTCTTTAAAATCATAGAAATATCGGAATCTTGAGATGTGAGGATGCTATTTGAATCTAATTTCAATATATTTATTTATCAGTTGATCAGAATTTTCTACAAAGTATTTGTTGAGAAATAACTATGTGGAAAACAAATGTCATAGATTTAAAAAGACTAAGAAAAAAAAAACATTATTCAAATTTCTATACGAGTCATTTTTCATTATTATATAATCATAGAAATCACAATAGCATAAGCAATGATCATATCATGATACAAAATAATTGAAAGTGACAGTCATCTTTAAGAAAGTATAGTTGACAGTAGGGGTGACCCTTTATCTTTACTTTCCTTTATAATAAAGGATAAAGATAAATGAATCCTTTACTTTTAAAAAATAAAGATAAATGATCATTTATTTTTAAAAAATAAAGTTAAATAAATAAAGGAATCCTTTATTTTTAAAAAATAAATGAAAATGAATCATTTATCTTTAAAAAATAAAAGAAAATGAATCATTTATCTTTAAAAAATAAAAGAAAATAAAGGAATAAATGATACTTTTTACGATAGATAATAGGATTAGAAAAGCACTAGAATCATGAAATAAATCTGCAGAGAGATTATTATCGTTTAAAAATGTAATTTTATTAAAAATACGCTTCCTATGATAAAAGTCAACAACAACAGAAATGAAAGTGTTGCTTCTGATTTTTTAGAATAGTAAGAAAGAGGAAAATCCTCTTATAACACTCTAATGTGATCAAAGGCTTCTTATATATTCAGACATCTTTTTGAAGCTTTATTGTAGAATCATAGAATGTCTCAATAGAATCGATGATCACTCAATCTTCTTATTTCTAAATAGAATTTCTTTCGAATTCTGAATTTCACTTTTAATTATCTACATTCTTGTTCGAGACAATCTATATATCGTTAACCTTAGAACGAATTATAATCAATAGCATAAGTTTTGTATACTTCGTGGCACGTTTGGTTGCTAGTGTGAACTGATAACCGATGCTTTTCAAATAAATAATGTTCAATAATTTTGATATGGACATTTAAGGTTTAAAGAACTTTAATAAGAGGAAAATGGTCCATGCTCACAATTGTTGCCATGCTAGTAGAGAACAACCTGTTTAACCATCTCAGCAGATTCCACATATGGCAACTTGAATATCAACATAAAAAAAAGAGCTGTTGTATGTTTACATGGACTGCATCAACATGTATACGTCTGCTTGAGAGAAAAAAAGAAAACCGTTAGTGTTTTTCTTTGTATTTGTTTATGATTTTCTTCATTTTCTTTTGCTTACAAGTAAAATAGTTATCGATTTCATTCAAACGATCATATTTGTTTCACTCAAGCTATACAATGAATAAAAGTAAAACTACTGGTTCATCATCTGCACAGAATTTGACACCACCATCATCTATTCGACATAGTACACCAATATTATCTCGAAGAAGTTCAACAAAAACTAATTCAAGAACAGTTACTAGTTCAGCAGGTGGATCAGTAAGTCGAGGAGGTGTTTCGAAAACACGTAGTTCTCGTCGAGCTAATAAAACATCAAAATTAAAACAATCAACAGGAAAGGAGAAAAATGTTGCTAGCCATCCTAATAATGATACTGCTGATGAGATGGAAGATGATGGTGCTATTTATAATGTGGTTCAGCAACATGATAATAATGATCAACATAATTTATTGAATTTATCTAATGCAAGTGCTGATACAATTATTGATCCAACTTCCAATAAAAACAAAAATATTGATAAAAAACCTGTTGAACATTTTATATTTATAAATGAAACTGGCAAATACAAATGTTCAATTTGTTCAAAGGTACAAGGTTCTCTCTGACTTTTTATCTCAAAGCCCTATAATTCATCTACAGAATATCTAGTTCATTGTTTTATTTAGGAATATAAAGCCATGCAATATTCAGATACAAATCTACGAAGCCATTTAGGTTTTACACACGGAATGCATCAATATTTATTTCCATCTCAGTTGCAACAAAGAAATAGTAAAAAATTTACATCAACAATTGCATTAGTAGATAAGCGACGATTTGATGCTGCAGCAATTCAATGTATCGTCGATGATGGTCATGCTTTTGGAATTTTCCAACGGCCTGGCATGCAAAAATTTTTAGCAACAATTATTCCAGGTTACTACGGTCCGTCTAGAAAGACGGTCCGCAAAAATTTGGACAAATTATATCGACAACATCGTACTTCATTACGAGAATCAATGAAAAAAATTCCATTTATTGCATTAACTATCGATTTATGGTTAAATTCACGTCGTACACATTTCTTAACAATAACAGCTCATTATTATGATGAACATATGAAACATTCATCAACAGTCATCTGCTTTCGTCGTTTTCGTGGTCGTCATTTCGCTTACCGTTTGAATTCATTTATTATTAAAGAAATTCAAAAATTAAATATTCAATCAAAAATCGTAGCTGTTACGACCGACAGTGGCGCTGATATTAAAGCTGCAACTTCAACAAATCAATTTGGAACATGGTATTCATGTGATGCACATAATATTAATTTAATGGTGTCGTCAAGTTTGTGCTTATGGAAAAAACCAAAAAAGTAATGTATTTGATTATATTTTGTTGTTGACTTGTGAGAGACTACCCATGTACAATTATTTGACGAGAAACATAATGACAATCGATCGTATTGTCAGTAAAATTCGATCAGAAAGTTATAGTTTTAATCCAATTAAAATTACCACTTTCAGCTCCAAATGCAAATTTCTAGGATTGGTCCAATATCTCTAAACTAACTTTAATCAATTGAGATTTATTGTTTGCTTTGTAATGTCTTAACAATTTTTAATTGATTCAAGACAGTATGAATAAATTTGAAAACGCAGAGAACTTCTCATTTGTGGCTGAAAATAGCGATTTGAGTAGAATTTCTTGTCGAACACTTTTCCATGGAATAGAAGTTAATTACTTGTTTTCTACCACATTCAAAAGAAAAAGAAATTTATCCTGAAGTTTTCCTTAAACAAAAGCTTTTTCTTAACTTCATGATTTCTCAGTAGTACAATGAATTGTAGCGGTAACACCGTTGAAAATAGCGTTGCTTACTTTGTTGTTGTTTTTTCTATTGATTAATCTATCATTGCTAAGAACAGATAATCGAATATACATATTTGTTTCAAATCTACCACCAATAGAAACAATCCAATAACGTCAGAAATCTTATACTTTACTATTTAAGGTTAAGTACAATGCATCGATCAAATATTGAATTTTTATGGTTTAGACCCAAGTTGCACGAAAAATAGTCATGAACATAATTCAAAAGATAAGAATAAATGACATCAACAGTATAGTTGCTATTATCGAGTCGATAAGAGCAAAAAATATTAACCGATACATAGTAAATATTTTTCATCTCTTTTTTTAAAGTTTTGATCCTCTAGAAGATCACTAGAAAGAATATGTCCAAACACATGTCTTTCAGTATATTTATAATTATTTTTTAAAGGTCTTTTTTTTGCAACTGTGTATATTATAAATATTCGATGGGTAAGTCACACTCGATAATGGAAAGATCAAGATAAGATTTCAGTTAATTTTTCTAATTTCTACCGATAATAGTACTTTTGAAGAAGCTTTAATATTGCATTAATTAATGCTATTTGAATAGCTTTTAGCTGTCAAGTTCAAATCACAGAATCTTTTGCATAAATATCAAATCAAATGGTTGAAATATAAGAATGTATTCATTGTATTTTGATTACTACTAAATTCTTTTTTATTTTGAAAAATTCTCTTGATTTCTTCCTCACTGTAATATTATGGTTTGAGATCTAATAAAGACTTCTTTATAGATAGTTGGTTGAACGAAAGTTACGCTGCTCAACTTTTTGGGCCGTATGTAAATCATACGTACATTGGTCAAAGTGACAACAGAGTGAAAAAAAAGATTGAGTCCAATATAGATGAAGAATAACAATGATTTGTTGCATCTAGCATCTTTCGCTTGTAAACCACTGCCTTGTCATTTACTTTTTACATTTTGTTGCCATCTTGACAAATATGTATATCAATTAAGTATAGAACAAGGAGTTGAACGATATAATTTTCATTCAATCAATTGTATATGAAGAAGGCACTGTTCGACCTCAAAGAATTATATTATATTATCAAACTAGTAATAGATGAGTGACGTTGCTTGCACTTACTTACGGATTCATGTAAATAATCTGTATCTGTTGGTTTCCTAAACTAATTCTTTTTCCTTTGCAGCACATCACCCACTCAGTCCTTAAGTTTTCCTCTTCAAGTACTATACCTTATACTTTATTTTCTTCGTAACTTGTAATTCTCTCATTGTCTTTATCATGTTTGAATATCTAGTTTTCTCACCATGCCTGTCATATTATTCGTTGTTTTCTTCTTCTTTTCTAGTATTCGTTGGGATCTGTTATTACGCTATGAATACCGTATAGTGCTTTTTTATAGCTCGGATGATTCTACTTTTTTTCTCATACATATAGAGAGACATTGTTGTTGCTTGACTTTTTTCTTTTTCTTTCGTTAAAAAAATTAAAGTCATAAAAGTGATTTCAATGCTTTTTATTTTTAGTTCAAAAAAATTACCTTCACCAACAACAACTTCTTCTAACCATGATTCTGATGAAGAATTGAACGAGATGAGAGTAATTGATAACGACGAGGTACCTGATGAATTTGTTGAAGATGATAATGACAATGCCGAAGATGATGATTCAATAGTGAAAGAACCTGATGAAAATGAAACTGATACTTCTTCAAGTAGCAACACCAGCAGCGAAGAAGAGGAAGAATATTTAACATCATCACAACAAGAAAAACAATCAGAAGAACCACAACAAGAATTGGAAAAATTATTATCAAATCCTGAAGAATTAAAGAATAAAATTAATCTTTTACTTAAAAAATTACGAAAATTAATATCGATGATACACAAATCCAGTATTTTGACTTCATTCATCCGTAATGAAATTCAACGAAAACAAATTGATTTAGATGCAATCAATAATTCAAACGATCAAAACAACATCAAAATAAATGAACTTGTAAAAGATTTTTATGTTCGTTGGAACTCAACTTATCTTATGCTGATACGTGTAATTGCAATTCAGCAAATTATCAATGATATAACATATACACCACAAGCACGTATTGGTTTAACATTCAAACAGATTAAAAAATTGAAGTCATTAACAAACAGTCACTTAGACTGGGAATTATTACAAGGTTTAGCTAATGTTCTAGCTCCATTTTCTTTGGCTACTTCGTGCTTGTCAGGCAGCAAATATGTAACATTATCGTTATCTTATTGGGTTCAAAAAAATCTTTATACGTATTTATCAACAGCAACAATTAATCCATTAGAAAATATGTTGAAGCGTTTATTATTAAACAAGTTTATATTATATTTTGAATCAAAAGCAACACCACAACAAAAAAATGGTAAATTGGTAAGTCGAAAGAAATCAAGAAAAATTTGCAGCTTGTTTTACAAGTTTAATAAAAATAATGTCCGACACTCAATGGCGTTTTCCATAGGGCAAATAACTAATCAGAAAATAAAGAAGAACTCATCTTAATTTTTTCGTATCCAGTATAGAAGTAGCACGTTAAATTCTATCTATAAGGAAGTTAAAGTAAAGTTTTCACAAAAGCTTTTTTTAATAAAAAAAATTATTTCTTTTGATAAGTAACAAAATTCATGCGAAAAGTATGATCTTTTCAGCAAAAAGCATTTTTTTTATATAAAAAATACTTTTAAAGGAAGAAATACTCCTTTTCAAAAAACGTATCTTTTTTTTGAAAAAATTTACTTTAAGCTTTAATATTTTTAAAGTTAAATTTAAAGTATGGTACTTTAACTTAACTTTCAAAGTTTAAAGTATTTCATTTTAACTTTAACTTGCTTCTTTTTAAAGTTTAAAGTTCAAAATGCCAACACTAGTCACGTAATTGATATAATCAAGATTTATCATCTAAACCAGAAGGAGAATCGAAATCAATCAAAGATCGTGTGAACATTATACGTCTACGGAGAAACAAGAAGTGACCATGAATCATTAAATTTTCGTAGCTGTTCTTCGCTGATTCTTGTTTTCAGGTTGTTGCAGAAGGCAAATCTTGATTACCCGGAAAATTTCATGTGAAAAGTCTAGTTGAGTTACGTTTATCTCTCTCATTAATCTTTTTTTGAAGAACTCACATAGATTGATTTCAAGGTAACTAGAAATATTCTTGAAAGTTTAAGGCATCGTAGACCACTCTTGTTGAACAGTCTAACAGTCAACCGAAACATCATATGACTTCTAAGTATTTCTGTTGTTTAATAAAAAACCTTGGATGTACAGAAATCATTCAACATCACTCTCAGTCATTATTTCTACAAAAGAAAGCTTTTTTTTCTGTCACAGAACTTCTATTTCTATTACCAGATAGGTCTATTCAAGTCTTTCTATTTTTAGATTGCAGCATATCTAGATCCAAATACACTTGTTGATTTATCTGATGAAGAAATCAGTGAAGCTGAATCATTAATTATTAATGAACATAAAACGTTTCGTGGCGAACCACAGCAGCAAATTACAACTGCAACACAGGCACAATTTCAACAGAAACAATTTACATCATCATCTTCCATTTCAAATACGAAAAGTTCATTATCAATTATGGAACGGTTCAAAAATGCCTGTAATATTACATCAGCAACAGATACACTTACATCAAATTCAACACGAACAGTAAAACCATTATCTCTTAAAGAAGAGTTTAGTATGTACATGTCAACATATAAACAGTCAACAGATTTTGAAACATTTTGGAATCAAAAACAATATATGTTACCAATTCTAACATCATTTGTAAGACGTTATAGTATTATTCCAGCGACTTCAGTCGCTTCTGAATCAGCTTTTTCTGTTGCTGGCTATGTTCAACGCAAACAGCGGTCGTCTCTATCACCAACTACACTCAGATATCTTATGTTGTTAAAAAAATGAGAATTATCTTTCGTAAGATAAAACAAAAATAGAATGAATGAAACTTTTTATTGATAGTACATATATTGTCTATTGAATGTCTAAATGAAAATTTAACATACGAAATTCAATACTACAGAAACTAGTCTGACAATAGACTACGATATTTGTTTTGTTCGAAAAAATTTTCATATGGTTTTCAAATAAAATTAGGCTTTCTTCGAAAATGCTTTAGGAAAACTCGAGTTCATAAATACGAATAGAAGACAAAACAAAATGAACATTCGACAACCGAATTGTTCTCATAGATCAGCTTTACATTGACAAACTTGTTTATTTTCAGTAGGTAGAACAGGATACGCAGGTCAAATCTTTATATACGTATTTAACTAAAGAGTTTTTTTCTTAACTAAAATATTCGATCATTGAGACTATACTCTAATAGAATTGATATTTTTCAAAAATTATTTTTTGCGAGCTTCTCTCAATGATCTAATACTTTAGTTAAGAAAAACCCTCTTCAACTAAATACGGATATAGAGAACTAACATGTGCTTCGTGCTCTACTTATTGTAAAATATACAAGTTGCTCTGTAGATAGTTGTTATTTGGAAGCGATTCGATTTTTGATATAAGGTTTGCCTTTTCTTTCATTCGTGAATATGGATGCAACATTTTTCTAAGCATTTTTAGAGAACAGTAATTGAATTTGAAGTTCGTATGAAAATTATTAGAGGTAAAAAATTATTCTATACTATTAACAAATTAGTTCATGTTCTGTTCAAATTATCGTATTAGATTTTCATTAAGGTATACTATAGAGAATGCATGTATCACTGGCGAACAGTGCTTGTCAAAAAAAGCTTTTTTCTATGTAGATAAACTTGAAATTAAATCATACGAAAAAATAGGATTATTACTGCTTATTTGTGTGTTATTTTCTGTTTTTTGTTTTTGCTTTCTTATTTTGTCTTCCTTTGTTATATTTGTGTGTGCATCATCAAGATTTTTTTTCAGTAACTGAAGAAAAGAATTACTCCTTGTGGAAATAAAACTACCTCATTTGATGCTTATTTGAAAAAATGTTCTACAACTTCTATTGACCAATTGTTTTGAGAAAGATAATAAAATATAGACTATCTCGAGCAAGAATGTAGATAATTAAAAGTGAAATTCAGAATTCTAACGAAATTCTATTTAGAAATAACAATATCGAGTGATCATCGATTCCATTGAGACATTCTATGATTCTAAAATAAAACTTTAAAAAGATGTCTGAATATATAAGAAGCCTTTGATCACATAAGAGTGCTATAAGAGGATTTTCCTCTTTCTTACTACTCTAAAAAAATCAGAAGCAACACTTTCATTTATGTTGTTTTTGGCTTTTATCATAGGAAGCGTATTTTTAATAAAATTACATTTGCAAAC